GCGATCCCGTTGCTGGTCCCCGGTACGGGCGCGACACCGAGGGTTGCAATCCCGTTACCGGTCAGTAAAAAAGACAAAAAGGAAAAAAAAAATTAGTTTCCAATATAGTTTACTTAATCAGGATATTTCCTTAAAATGTGGATTTCAGACTTCTTTTAAAAAATCAGCATATCCAGCACCATATCAGTCTGTTTCTGTTGCTTATAATGGAATATCTGGAACTGTGTAATTTATAAAAAAACAATATTTATTTCCTACAGTGCAGAGGTTGGGAAGTCCAAGGTCTCAGGACCACATCTGCTGAAGGCCTTTTTCTACAGTGATGCAGGGTATCACATGGCAATAAAAGACTGAGCAAGACAGAACTAACTTCCTCACTTGCTCTCTTTATAAAGCTGTCATTAATCCATGAATGGATCAAACCATTCATGAGGGCACAGTCCTCACAATCTAATCACCTCTTAAAGGCCCCCCCTTTCAATTACCACAATCAATTTCCTACTCTCTTAACACCAATACAATGGGGGTCAAGCTTCCAATACATGAACTTTTGGGGAACACATTTGACCTACAGCAGGGACCAAGCAGCTGGAGCTGAAAAACATAGCAGTCCTCTTCAGAAACACCACACCTTGGGCCAGCCCCGTGGCTCACTCAGGAGAGTGTGACTCAGGTAGCGCTGAGGCTGCAGGTTTGGATCCTATATGGGGATGGCCAGCGCACTCACTGGCTGAGTGTGGTGCAGATGACACCAAGCCAAGTGTTACGATCCCCTTACCGGTCAAAAAAAAAAAAAAAAAAAAAAAAAAGAAACACACCACACCTTCCCAGGCCTCTTCCTTGGCTGCATTCCATCAATTCTAGGACACCTATTATATCATATTTTAACGTCTCTGAAATTAGGTGTGGCTGACCACTGATGTAATTATGATTGGAAAAGCTTTTTCTAGCTTGGCCATATGAAAATCAATGACTGGTCTTAAAGTCCATAGTGCCTTAGATTTGATGAAGTGTCATACTGATCTGGCTCCCTGGAAGCTTTCAAATTTGCAATCCTTGCTCTGGCATTTAACTTAAAAAATTTGATGTTAGCCCTTGGTTTAAAGTAGATTCTATATAGCATAATAACTAAGTAATGTTTTATTCCTTTTTTGCCAAGAGATTAGAAATTCAGGAATGGGTATTTAATTCTCTGGATATGTGGTGGGTGGATGGTTGGGCAGCTTTATGGAGGTGGTCACAGGCAGGTGTACAATATGTGTTGAGAGGTGAGCGGGCGGGAGCCAATGCTTCCATTTCTCTGCTCCTGCTGATACTGTGTGGCCCAGCAAGGTGATCAATCACCCCCATGCTCAGGTTTTATTTTCCCCATTGAATGGAGACCATAATAGAATCTACCTCACTGAGTTCTGAGAACTGAATGACATAATGCATATAAAACAGCACAAAGCTGGCACCTAATAAATGCTCAATATTAGGCCGATGCCGTTATTTATGTTGTTACTTGTTTTTTAACCTTTGATGTTTTATTGTTAAGAATTACATTAGCCAATTGTCTAATATTTGATTCCTTACTTTTACAGATAAGGAACTTGAAGCACAAACAGCTCAATATAGGGACCTGCCTGAGGTCACACAGCTGGTCGCAGACAAACTGGGGAGAGCCTAGACCCTGAACCATCAGCTCACCCCC